GATAATTCAAAATTTGTGTATCAAAGTTTGTGCTTATCAAGGTGCTCTTGGATTTTATCTTCAAGTTCATCTACCTTCTTCTCGCAGGCTTCACTAAAATCCCATTCTAAATCCATTTTTATAGACTTTTTTTAATTTTGATAGTGTTCCTTTTAAGAGTAAGATCTCGAAGAATTAGGTCGAAAAAAGCTTCAAACTGGAACAAGTACTGAGAAATGGAATTAGAGAGGTTGCGTTGATTAATTCCATCCAATAGCTTGCGAATTTTGGCCCCAATCGAGGTTTCTTCTTTGGTAATTGTAAGAAAATCAGCTTAAAAAAAATAAACTTTGAGTTGTTGGAGCAGGAGGCTGACAACAACATCAAGTTCAGCAACATACATAGTAGTAGGTTCAATAGATTGAGAACCAATCGACGACTTACGAAGTTTTTGAAGTCTTCTTAAAGCTTCAATTGGATTTTTCTATTCATAGCAAAGATCTCTTCCTGACTGAGTGAGTGTTTACCGTGGTTATTGGTAAACAACCGCTGATCCTCCAAATGGTTACTTATTTGGTTACTCGCAGGATCAATCAGATTGATCCTAAGACATAGGTTGATTTTGAAGTTTTGATTAAGTTAGATAATGGTTAAATGACAATAAAATAAAGAGGCTTTAAGTAAATTGCATGAAGAAGGACTTTGATAAAATAAATGAAGGCTTGAAATAAAGGGCTTCGACAGGAAAAGTAAAGAAGAAAGCAAGTAAAGTTTCTGGAAAAGTAAATGACTTTGATTAATAAAAGTGGTGTTTCACACATACATTCTCAACAATTCTTTCTCACACGCTGGGTACTCGAATCTATATGAGTGACTTTGTATATAATTGTGAACACACGCGAGAAACTGCGTGAACTACTACTATTTATACTAAAACATCCCAAGTAACCGTCGGGCAGTTACACTGCTTCGAGATGATTCCACTTGGCATGTTCTCAACGTTCGACGCTCCAGATCTTTGCACGTTGCACTTGGTAACCGCTGGAAACCGTTTTCCCTCCAAACGCTTGAATTTCAAACCGTTCCACTCTGAACCATCGAACATCTTCGTCGAGAAGCATCTTCGACGAGAAACACCTTCGACATCGAAGGCAACCAACTTCTCCCTTGGAAGAAATCTTCTAAGTACATTGCCATCTTTCGATGGGCATTTCGACGGACCCAGCTGGTCGAAAACATCCTTCAGCTTTAATGGCTGACATTAATAAAACAAGGGTGTCGAATTTAGGAGCCAACAGTGAGCTATTAGAACTAGTGTCCTGAATGATGAGGGACTCGCCTTCGACATGAGGTTGTTGATTTAGTTATCCTTCAAAAGGAATCTCCTCGACCATAATTTTCTCTGAACCATTGCCAACTTCATCTGATCCTGGTTGGAGATTATCATGGGTCGAACCAATAACACCATCAAAGTCATCAAATGTTTTAGGGCTTAGCTCACTAGTGCCTTCAACATCAGCTTTAAGATTTTTGACATTTCCACCTGGACGTTCTTCTAGAGTATTTTCCTTGGGATGCTCCTAAGAGAATTTGATTGTCAGTAAAAAATAAGGTGTAAATTTGACAAATCAAACAATTGCATATTACCTCAATAATTTTCTTTGGAGTTCATGGGGTTCTTGGTCTTATTTTTTTGGAAGTGGATTTCTCTATAGGGGTAGTTGGAGTTTGTTTTGCTTCATTGACTGGTTCCATGGTTGAAGATGTAGCCTTTTGTGCCATATTCTTATTTCGCTGGGTATTCTTCTTGCCACCCTTTGGTTTTGAAGGTGTTGGAACTCTAGAATTGGAAAAGATTTGAGTATGTTCACTTTCATCAAAATTTTCCTCCTCGATTAGCTCCTCATTTGGTTTTGGTGGGGCCTAAAAAGGGATCACAAATGAATGAATCCTATTGATTATTAAACTTTGAATAGTAAAGGGATCATATTATATACCAACGCCTTTTGAGGTTTAGTAGTTTTCAGTTTCTTTGGTTAGTTGGTAGTAGCAGTCAAAGTCGAAGCACGTTTCCAACCCTAAGAAAAGTTGAGAAGTTTAGATTTTGTTTCTAAGTAATGAAAATTCAACTGATAGTAGGATTTACCTTTTTGGGTTGATTCCCTTCAGCTTTATCTTCTTGATTTTTAGCTTCTTTCTCTGTAAATGACTAAATGAGAAAGTTAAATTAAGAGGAAAGGGAAAGTCGAAGTCATTAAGACGCACTTGTTGTAGCCTTCATTTATGCCTTAAAGATGCTAAAAGCAGTTTCCAACCTTTGGAGAAATACTGGTACTGAAAGAGACTTTTGAATGTGTTTCGACCACCAGGTGTCGAATTCTTCGGTGGTAAGATAGGAAGTTTGGAACTTGAACGTAGGAAGTTCAAGAAATTGTTTGTTGTAAAATTTGAGGCAATTCATGTATTGTTGAGCCTTGAATGTACGTCCTGACCAACAGATGTCAGTAGGTCATGAATAGAGAGATTTTGGCAACATTTGGATAAGACCAAATTATTGAGCCATTAAATTTGGCCGATAGCTTGTGAATCCATAAAATTTTGCCCCTGCTTCGATTCAGTGAGAAAGAAGGGTTGGAGTTAAAAATGGTGCCCAAATGGCATTCGATTAAGCAGCACTAGGTGGAGTAACACCAAGAAAAGGGTTCTTGAACTAAGTTGGGCCAAAACAACGATCCACAAAGGGAGCCATAGTTGAGACAAAGGTTTATGTATCAAGAAACAGTCTAATGTATTTCGTGAAGACAATTTGATTTGAATTGTCATAAGGAGTGGTCAAGGTAAGCCTATTGCCTTCTATGTGCCTGGCTTATGTCGCACACATGAGTTCTTCCGATTGTGTAATACCCAAACGTGGCTTAAAAGTGGCGTTTAACCAATGCTATAACAACCACAAAGGGCATGAGAGCAAAAGTTTTTCCGTTGTCTCAGTAAGAAGTCTTATTTTCAAAGAAGTAATGCATATAGAATGATATAAAAAGGCCAACAACAGTTTTCCCAAGGAGATATTTCGACCTTCATGAAGCTGAATCACCAAATTGATGAATTCTTTGGCTATTTGTAGAGAACCTGGACATAACAAGTAGTAGGAGAGCCAATATGTTAAGAAGGCGACATGTTCTATGTCGGAGACCTCTACATTCTTTTTGTTATGATGGTCAAGGATGTATTGTTTGAAGGTCACATTGACGAAGTTGAATTCGAGTTCAGTTGGAAGCTTAGGGTCGAAGACTTCACCTAAGGCTGAAAGGCCAGTTATAGCCACCACGTCAAACAGAGTTGGTGTTATCATCCCACATAAAAGTTTGAAAGTATTGGTCGAACCTTTCCAGAAGAAGATCGATGCAAGTAGCATGCAAGAATTAACTATATGGCCATTTCTCGATAGTTGGATTGCGATAAAGATGCCTAAATTTCCCCATTGATTTTGTCGTTGACCTTGTACTCTCTCGATCCAGACCAAATATTCTTTGTTTCCATGAGTAAGAGTTGATCGAAATAATCTTGTAGTGGGATCCGTAAACTTCAGATCGAGAGCACGTTGTACAAATGTTGAAGGAGTAGCTAAAGTATAACAAGGGAAAAATGTATGAACCCTGTCTGGTTGTGATTTAGGATCAGGATACGGTCCAAAGAACACTAACAGTCTATCAGAAACAAGGAATGTGATTAACTACAGAGTTCTCCAGATAATAATCTTTACTTTATCTTTAAGTGGTTGAGGAATGAAGTTTAAACCTTGGGAATCTTCATCTTCAGAAATGATAATCGCTAGGGGGTTGCTACCAGTGTCTACGATGGTTGAAAGGGTCGTCATGGTTTGATGAAGGAAAAGAAAAGAGAAGTTTTCTCTAGTTTTTCTTGCGAAGTGTTGAAGAAGAAATAAATCTTTCTAAAATTTCTTTGGAAACTAATGGGTTTGTGAAAAGGTTGAATAAAGTTGAAGTGGTTTATTTATATTCGTTTAAGCCATTGTGATGAGTGACAAGTGGCAGCAAACGTTTGAAATCCGAACATTTCAGTTCCAAAAAGTGGGAAACTTGGTGGTAGTAGTTTGAAAGCTTCAACCTAGGGATTAGACACAATCATGAGAAATAATGAAAAATCCTTGGGAAGTGACTAGATGGTAAAGCAACCATTATGACAACGACGTCAGCGGAAAGACATCTACAATGTCAAAATTTTGTCAAAAGAAAAATGCCACATTTCTCTGTCGAAATAATTCTCAATCGAAAATGACATTTTTGGGAGGCATTGTTACCTTGAAATTTTTGACCAAGTATATAAATAGGACTTAGGGGTTATAGCCCTAAAAAAGGGAGATTTTGTATTTCTTCCATGTGAGTCGAAAAAGTCTTCGACGACCTTGTTGATGTCTCCAGTCGAAGCAATTCCCATTTGAATGGTCAGATAGAGAATTCTTGGTGACAACCAAATTCCTTTCACTAGGGGAACTAAGACCATGTAGTGTTAAAGGACTTAGCAGAATTTGTGTTATCTTCGTTGTTTGGAACATGGTCGAGTGAAGCTTTCAAATGGAGAAGGACAAACAATTTTCTTAAGAACACATGAAAGCTTATAAAAAGGAGCATGCATGAATTAGAAACGTGACATATTTTGCTTAATCGACCGTTGAAAACAATTATTTTAGGATTTCTATATAAACAACATTTGTTTTCAGTTTTAGGGATCCATATTTGTTACATTGTAATAGAAACTCAAAGTATCCGTGTTAAAGTGAGAAAATTACGTCATAAAATTCCTTAATTGATCTTGCAAGTAATCCTTAATAAGAAACTAGAGGTTGATTATCAAAAATCTAAATAAACATAGTGGAAGTTCGAATCGTGACATTCTATTTATTCAACTTTAAAAGATAAATTATCATCCCCTAACCACTAGACTATTTGATAAAAAAAACCATAATTAAAAATGATGTCTAAATCAATAGAAAATCAAATTATATGCAATTCACTTACAAAACACACATTAACAAGTATGGTTCGTTTAAAGGTTTAACATAAACAACATATTATTTCAACACAAATAATTCTTGAAAATTGATGAATATTACAAATATTTTTTCTTGACAAAAAATCAAACATAGTGGCGATAATTGAGAATAACAACTTTTTAATCTATTAAAAAACAACAAAAATAAACATCCCAACTTTGACAAAAATACCCTCCATATAAGAAAAGAAAGCATCCAAGGGACAGTTTTCATTACCTCTTGTAAGAATCAACGGTTGAAATCAATTCAAACAACAACACGCTTCTCTTAAACCCCTTTTGCAAAACCTCGCTAGGGTTTAACACAGAAGAGAAAATCAAACAAATCCAAGGTACGTTCTTTTCTTCACGCTTTTCTTCAATTACAGCTTCCATTTCTTCATATATGATGAAATTTTCGTTATGATCTTTGTTCATTACATTAGTTTCTTTGATCATAGATTCATAGTGAAATATAGGTTAATTTTTTTGATAATTTTCATCAGGTTTCAGAAATGGCTTTCTTTGGTAGAGTTGGGAGTTTAATAAGGAATGCGGCCAATGCGAAGATCGGTGCTGAGATTAAGCTACGTTCTTTCCCGTCTGTTTTTCAAGCCGTACGGTGCTTTTCGAGTACTCCGTCTACAAAGCTTTTTGTAGGAGGTGAGTTTTGATTATAATCTACTCTATTTTGATTTTTGCATACACTTGGTGTTTTGTTATTTCATATATATTCAAAGCTCGGTAGCACCGACATCTCTGAAAAAAGATGTGACTCAGTGTCTGAAACCGACTCTGACACTTGTTATTATGTTTAAACTATTCATTTTTACAAATTATTACCATTGTCAACATGTCGGTGTCGTGTTTCCGGTGTCCGTGTTTCATAGATTGAAAGGAAACCTTGTTGGAGGTTCTCATAGTTTAAGCTGTGAAGCTATGAAGCACTGACACAACACAAACCCAGAACATGTAGACACTGATAAATAGTTTAGGACAGTATAGAAGTGATTGAATATAAATCTATTTGTCTGTGTCGAACATTGATACGTGTCAGACACCAAACTCGTCTTCGATTTGAATTTTTGGTGCTACATAGTTGTGTAGTCAATCTCTTGTAAAAGCAAGATAAGTTTGCTATAATGAATCAGTAATGGGTTTGACCCTTGTTTTGGACCCTGTTATGGCAAGGCAGAATCTTTAATGATATAGTTGATGATATTTATAATGGTTCAGAATAATTACATCTGCATGTGTTACAGGTGTTTCATATTCTACTGATGAACAAAGTTTGAGGGAGGTTTTTGCAAGATATGGGGAAGTTGTGGATGGTGAGTAGTCAGATTATCCGCTTTTCTTCTACCTTTTATAGATTCTTTTGTGGGGGAGAGGGATTCAATTGAAAAACTGTTGCAGTCATTTGTGTTGATTGAAGTCGTTATTATTGTTGTTTAACCTTGTTGCTTTTGTAGTGAGGATTATTATGGATCGTGAAACTGGTAGGTCCAAAGGATTTGGCTTTATTACTTACAATACTGTCGAGGAGGCATCAAGTGCCCTTCAAGCCTTGGATGGACAGGTAGTGCAGACTGTTCTTAGTATTATTAGTGTTTCATTATTAGTAACAATAAACTTCTGAATAATCGTATTCGCATAACATGTATACAAATGATGTAACTTCATAGGTAAGCCATTAAATGAAGCTTATGTTAACTTTATGCGCTTTTTTAACTGTCAGTGCATGTGTCTGAGTTTATCGAAGTTGTTGTTTTTTTGTCATGTGTCCTTAGAATTGTAGGGCTTTGACAAATGTGTCTAATTATTTACGTTACTATTAATGTGGCTGTGATTAATACCATTTGTTTGGGTTTTGATCATGACAAATTTCATAAACTAGTATGGTCTCGTTGTCTCATTATTTTGAACCGTAAGATTGAGTATTATTATTAAATAGCTAATCATTGTGAGATCCATAATAGATAGAGAGAATGTCATCCTAGCGGCTTACATGCTATTGTGGTTCCTTCATTTGATAGGTCATAACTCATAAGTGAGAAGATATTCATATGGTCTCCGGTTAAAATTTTTATTATTAGGAACTTTTAACGCTTCTACATGTTGTATTTTATCTGTAAATCTTAAGTAACTCAACTGCGGTAACGTAAACTAGTTTATAACTTCAAAAATGAAGTGGTTCCTGGTGGTATGTTACATTCTTTGACCCCTGTGTTAATTTAATTTGGCATATATAGAATCAATTATTGACTGAAATAACATTTACATTATTATTTCTTTTTTCTGAATGTAATTTTGTTTACAGGATTTGCATGGTCGCCGGGTTGGTGTAAATTTTGCCAACGAAAGAGCCCGTGGAGGATACGGTGGCGGTGATGGTGGTTTTGGTGGATCTTATGGAAACACTTCCTATGGTGGTGGAGGTGGTGCTGGATATCAAGGTGGTTATGGTAACTCTCCATACGGTGCTGCTCCAAGCAGTGGTGGCTATGGTGATGCTGGTGGTAATGTCACTGGAGGTTATGGTGGAGGAGGTTATGGAAGCACTTACAATGATGGAACTACTAGTGGAGGTTATGGTGGCAACACTGGGAATTACGGTGCTCCTGTGAGTGGTGGTGAAAGCAATACACTTGACTATGGCAGTGCTCCTGCTGTTGGTGGTTATGGCGGTGGTAACAATGGGAATTACGGTACTGCTGATACTGTTAACTATGGTAGTGCTCCTGGTGCTGGAGGTTATGGTGGTGGTAACAATGCAAGTTACGGTGGTGGAGAAAGCAATTCTGTTAACTATACTGCTCCTGGTGTTGGTGGTTATGGCAGTGGTAATGCAAATTATGGTGCTGCTGTAGGTGGTGCGGAAAGCAATTCTGTTAACAATGGTAGTGCTCCTGGTGCTGGAGGTTATGGTGGTGGTAACAATGCAAGTTACGGTGGTGGAGAAAGCAATTCTGTTAACTATACTGCTCCTGGTGTTGGTGGTTATGGCAGTGGTAATGCAAATTATGGTGCTGCTGTAGGTGGTGCGGAAAGCAATTCTGTTAACTATGGTACTGCTCCTGTTGATGGTGGTTATGGTGCTTCTTCTGCTGCTGGTGATCCGAGCAATGGTTTCGCGGGTGGTCAATACCCTGGAAATGCAACAGGGTATGGCAGTGGCGGTTTAGGTACTGGGAGCAGCTTTGCTGGTCAATATGGTGAAAGTAGTCAAGAAAATTTCAGGAATGATGATCATGAAGCCGATACTTTTGCTAAACGGGCTTGATGGAGCCTCAAAAAGTCTTAGGTGTTACCAAAATTAGGTGGATTTGTTCCTTTTGTTCTGTGTCTGTTCCCATTTTCATGAACCAGGAATCTAAACTTTGTTGCATGTTTTGATAAATTGAGATCTTCACTAAGAGTTTGAGTCTCATTGACACTGCTTTAAAACATTATGTGGGTTTATATACTGTTAGAAACTGGTATATATCATTAAGAAAATTAATGAATTAACACTGAATTTTCATTTTTCTCATATTTTACAGTTTGCTAATGTTAGTAATTGTATGTTTGTAACCAATGTACATAGCCAATCATGTTAAGTTTATTCCTCAAGCAATCTAAAAATTTCTGTTCATATTAACAGTTTTAAGCTGTGTCTAAGAAACCAAACCAAATGAGACTGTTTAACCAGAGCCTTTACTATATACCTCGGTCCTCGCCGGGCAATTTAAGACGGTTGAACCATGACTCAAATCTCACTAGTTCAATGTACGATTCATTTTTCAAAACACCAGATCAAAGGGCAAGATTAGACCCAAAATCTTGCTAGAAATTTTGAAAAATAATGCAAAGTAAGAATTTCAGTTACTATTATCAAGACAAGATCATATCAATGGAAGCTTTTACTGTATTCAATAAGTATTACTCTTTTTTTTTTCTATTCCTACATTCCTAAGAACTAGATGATATCAATGTTGTTCATCTTCATCCATAGAATACAATATCTTTTTTGCATTTTGAAAAAGAGGAGAACCTTTCTTGGTTCTTTCAACAATTTGCCTTATCAATTGTCTCTCCATCTCATCATTATCACAATCACAACTTTCATCTCCACTAACATTCAATTCACTGGAGCTTCCCCCTTCCAACATTGTCTCCTTGCTAAAATAGGGTTCCCTTGAAAGACTTCCTTCATCAACCACTGAGTTTGTCGCCGAACTGTGCTCAAAACCTGTTGCATGCCAGTCATGTGAAAGTGGTGAACCTTGTTCAATATTGATTGATGGTGAATTGTCTTCAGAATCATTTATCTTTATTAGTTCTTCATATGCTTCATTGTATGCATCAAGTGCATCACCTGATAAATTGAGAATCAAGGGCTGAGACATAGTGTCGCAATCTTCATGAGTCATCAACGAGTTTTCTTTAGTAGGAGAAGACGCCTTTTCAAAACTACCATCATGCTTGGATTCCAAAAATCTTACTCGCCTTTGGCTATTTTCAAGGGCAATCTCAAGCTCCTTCACTCGTTTCTCGAGTTGGTGTTGTATGACTTCGTGCAAACGTACACTCAGTTCATGCGGCGAAACTCCATAGTTTGAAGGAAGAGGTGTAGTGACATTGGCATCTGTTCCACTGAACGTGTTAGCTGGCAACTCACCTTGAGCAAAATCTGCTACAAAGTCCGGGTCGATCTGCAAAAATATTGCACCATTAACACAAGAATGCAAGCGATTATAACAGGTCAATAAATTTAGTTTTATATCCAGCCGAATAAAAGTAGTGAGTGAAATAGCATATGATAGTTACTCGATTCGTGTAGTTACTCGAAAATCTGACAGTTATGCTTACCTCGACAAGCTCAGATAATTTTCTATCCAGACTTGAATTATTCATGTCCAACCCTAATCTCTCAAGTTCCGCTTCAAGCTCAGCTTCAATTTTGCTCATAGATTCTGAACTTTGTTCTTTCTTCTTATCATAAGATGATTCTTTGAAGTCTATTCTCGGAGAGCTATCCACGTGTTTTTCAGGGGAAAATTCATGTAGCTCCTTACTATTGAAGGAATGATCACATGTTTCTTGTGAACCGTAATTTTCATTATGCAACTCCTTCACGGTTAACGAATCTTTCATATCAAGTTCATCTTGAAGATCTTGAACCAAGTTCTCACTCTGCTTCAACAATTCTCTAAGCTTGATTATTTCTCTTTTATTTCCCATGATGGAAATTATTATCCCAAGAGAAATCCCAAAGCAGAAGAGAAACGTCGGATCTGATGATTGCAGATGCGTTAGTAAACAACTATCAGAGTAAAACACATTACATAACAGAAATCGAGTATAAATGTTCATCGAGTAAACAGTCAATTTGGTCAATAAATGTTTGAGACAGTGACTATCTTCTCTGAATGTATCAAAATTACAAAAACATCGGTGAGCCAAGCATATATTCTTGAACATATTGGGGAATGTTTTTGTAATTTTGATTAATTTAAGGACTATAGTAATATCGCTTGACACATTCAAGGATCAAAATCACCGTTTACTCAGTGTTGTCGATGGCGGATGACAGTCCATGGCGAAGAGCCAAAATCCCGCCATTCCAGCCGCTTTGCAACGCCGTTATAGCAGATTATGACCGAAAAACCCACAATATCGGCTGATATTTACCATTGCGGTGAGTCCAAACCCGCCATGTATATCCACCATGGCGCTAGCATGGGGGATACTTGATAACACTGTGTTTACTTAATTCATATCAATAGAGAAGCTAATAGCTATAGTATCTTTCCATTATGTAACGTTTTAAATTGCAGTACGCAACCACAATTGCGACCATGATATAACAGATTTTGTGGTCTCCGCAATGACATCACAGCCATAATTCTGACCACATTGGCCTCATTTTTCCGCAATGTAAAAGTTTGCAGCTTAACCACAAAAACAATTTAAAACCATGGTTCTAAACATAGGCATGAACAAGAAATACATGAACAGATAATTCAAACACAATACAGGCCAATGAGATTTGCTTAAATAAATCTTTTTACCATATCGGCTGAGTTTTCCACTAAGCACGTCATCAGAAAAGCTTGACCTTCGATTTCGTCCAATAATTGCATCCAGTTTCATCTTCTTGGAATCACTTTTCTCTTTTGCTCGACCAGCTTTATGCAGCTTATGCTCCTTACTTGCACTTGATGAATTGATCAAAGTATCATTGCCTCTATTGACTATTCGGCTTCCATTGCTTACACGAAACGATCTCGTGGCTATACATGCCGATGAAAGAGGACTGAAAACATACTCTTCCATTTTCGCATGTTCTTTATATATCTGAGCCATGAAACAACTTTCTAAGGAGTTTAACGGTCTACTAACATGCTTGGTAAAACGTTTCGCCGATAGACAGGTTTTATGTCCGAAAGAGTTCTGTATAGGAACCACATTGGCAGAAAAATCGGAAAGAAAGACACCACGGTTGCCAAAAGTATTAGTATTTCGCCCATTTCCATCTTCACCATGCTTAAAGTTATCATCATATTCATACGGTGATAATGGCACGGCTAAGTTTGATAGAGACAGCAAATCATCCTCATTATAATTCCGCAACTTCTCACAATTCAACCCTCGATTAGACGACATGTCTCCTGTCGAAAAACCATCCAAAGAGCTCAAATCCGAAGACTTCTCACCCAAACCTGTTCTGTCTAAAGAAACATCTTTTCCCATTTTTTGCATCCGTGTATGTTTGACGCACGAAAATTGGTAACCCGAGGATTCAATATTCTCAAATTTCGAATCCTCTGAACACAAACGATACGAACTATCGCCATTCTCCAAACTCCTGTTCCAATATTTCGCTAAATAACCAGCCCCAGCCGCAGCCGCAACAACCCACAAATCCATTCTTAACCCAACATCATCAATCGCCGATGTTCAAATTCCACTACGCAATAACGCTATATCACAACTATCCCCGTTATTCGTTGTTCGACAACACTCCACAATACAAGCTACCCTCTTCTTTCTTTCAATTACTAGTATCAATAATCAAACAACCAAATGAGGAACTTTCCATGAATGAATCAATAACTACCCTTCAAATATTCTCACAATAACAAAACCCTAAACATAAACATTCAAAGAAACATCCTCAATTCACTCATTGAATCAAAAACCAAACAACAACAAAACTAAAATTACTCCAAGGAACCAAATTTCACTATGAAAGTATAGAAGTTGAAGCGTCACTGCAAAACCCTTTTCTGAGAAAACCCCTAATAAAAAAAATGGTGTTTCTTGTTAATTTTTTTCTGGCATTGGAGAAAAATCATGAAAAAAAAAAAACGAGTACAAAGAAAATAAAAAAGCTTACTTTCCGGAAAATCCTTAGTATTCGTGAAACGAAATCTAGGACACACGAAGTATTGTCGAATCTCGCAGGTTGTTTAATGTTTACACCGTTATCTCCAACGTAGTATTTTCACGGATGAAAAAACATTAATGTTTTGTTGCTGAGAAAAATATCGAACAAATAATATAATTTTTTTTTTTTACTTTTCATTTTTTTTATATTTTTCTGTGAATAAATTCAAATTTTTGCCGATTCATTGGAATCTCATCCAATTTTCGGCGTGTGTTACGTCATAAATGTTTTTCTAATAGAAATATTAAATAAAGAGAGAAAATGAAAGTGTTAATTGATTGATAATTATGAAAGTGTCTTTTTTATTTAAGAATGTGATTGGTTGTAATAGACTAATTAAAAAAGAAAATTTAAGGGGAATAAAGAAAGAGAAAAGAAAATGGAGAGTAGTGTTATTTTTTCTTTCTAGAAGTAGTAGCGATATTTTAGCATACTAAATATTTAAAAATTAGTTTTTAATATTGTACAAGATAATACTGATACTTTAACATAGGTTTCATCAACATATGTTATCAATTTCAATTATCTAAACTTTAATATTAAAATAAATGAACTCTAATTAAGATTGAAAGATACTTAAGATAATCTTAATTTATTTTTTCTTTCAATTTTATTTTATACTACAAAATGGCCCAATAGCATTGATAAGGTCCGATCCAAACGGACTTGTTGGAGGTCACGCCGACCAAAGGATCACAATCGTGCCCGACGTGCTCACTGGGGCTACTTGCTCGACCTCCTACCGTCCAACTCGACTTCACCTCGAGCACCCCTCCTAGGGCAGACTCAGTCCACTGCACTCTCAACGGGACTCCGAAAAGACCGCGTCTCTGTCCGCCCGCACTTCACGCAGAACATCCAGAGAGAGGACCACGTGCAGGTCCCCACTACGCACGTAGAACCTGGCAGTTCCTCCATTGGGCCAAACCTGCCCGGCTCAATGAAGGAACCTTGGCCCAACGCTGGGGGCTATAAATACCCTCTGTATCCAGAGGGTCAGGTATTCATCATTCTATCCATACTCTTACTATTGCCTGCTCGTGCTCGTACTTACTTCAGCATCAGAGTGTCTTGCAGGTACCCCCCCACCTCGTTCAAAACTTCAGCTCGGAGCCAGCTGTGACGGTCCAAGTCTGATCAGGTTAGATCAGTGGCGCCGTCTGTGGGAAACTAGCTTCCCCGTCTTGCAAACTCAAAGACCAAAGCTCAAATTCAACTACCTGCCATGGCTGATCAAGCTCGCGATGAGCAGAACGTCCGTGTCGCCGACACTAACAACGGCACGGCGGACAAAAACGAACATCTTGACAACGCCGGCAATCCCGGCCACAACACCATTCCCGCAACAACCGCCCCCGAAACTTCCTCCTACAGGGACGGAGCTACTGCATCATCCTCCTCGCTCCCACCACCACTCGAGGACGACCCGGCGACCCTCGCCCACTACAGAGTCGCCCGGTTCCAGGAAGTCCCCGTCCCCTCCGGGTCGGATGCCACAACACAAGCGCTGTTTGCAGTAATTAATCAAACGAACTATCTCATCTTCGCCCAAGGAAAGAGATTAAAGGCGCTTGAAGACGAGCGAAGGCCCCCGAGGAGGCATCGGAGACCACATATTCCCCCTCCTCGAGTGACTGAAGCTCGACACCCCTCTCCCCCGCGGAGACACTACAGGGAGACCTCTCGAAGCCCATCTCCCCGGCCAAAACAGAAACGCCCTTATCTGGAGAGGCAGCCCATCATTCAGGCCGGAGAGCCCAGTCGCGACCCGACGGTACTAGAAAGAAGGCACTCCGGAGATGGGCGTGTGAAATTCAACAGCCGAGCATCCCGCTCGAGAGAAACTCAGCACGAGCTGGACCATCGTGCCAGACAATATTACAGGTCCCCATCTCTGTCTCCGGAGAGAAGCGACGAGGACGACCCCCGCGGTCCCCTGTCACAGGTTATTATGGAGGCACCCATTCCCCCGGGCATGGAGAAGCCCCCACACTTGAAGGAGTACGATGGAGTCGCGGACCCGGTCGACCACATAGACGGGTTCGAGGTTATGCTTCATTATCACAATGTTGGGGGCCCCATCAAGTGCCGTCTATTCCCCACGACTCTCAGGAAGGCGACAATGGACTGGTATAAAGGACTCGCCCCGGGCTCAATCACCTCGTGGCAGAACCTGAAGAACCAGTTCATCAGTTCCTTCACAGCTTCTCGGCGCCATCCGAAGACCGAGGCGGCCCTCGAGGCCATCATTCAAAGACAGGATGAAACCTTGAGGGAATTCATCAACCGCTTCAACCGGGAAGCAATACAGGTCCCCTGCACAGACCATATGAAAATATACTTGCTGGAGAGAGGGCTCCTCCCCGGCACAGAATTCAGAAAGGCCGTGGGTATCGAGCCACCTCGGACATTCGATGCCCTCCTCGAAAAGGCCCGAGCATATATGGACTACGAGGAGAGGGAGGCGGCCAACAGAGCCCGAGATTCCAGGACTCGTGGTCCCAACAGCAGCTCGTGCCAAGAGGCTCCTCCTCGACGAACCGAGGAGAAAAGGAAGGAAGACAGGCCCCGGGAAGTCCGGGAACAAAGAGGACCCTCATGGCGTTTCACCGAGTACACTCCGCTCACGGCTTCCCGCGAGCGCATCCTGGCGGAGTGTGCCAGCACCGATTTCAAGGACGGCGGTGTCAAACGTCCCCGACCTGCTCCCGCTAAGCCCGAAGCAGACAAAAATAAATATTGTCAGTACCATAGGAGCCATGGTCACCTGACTGAGGATTGCGCCCACCTCAAGGACGCCATTGAAACCCTCATCAAGGGAGGGAGGCTCGCGCAGTACCGGCGAAACGACGCTCCCCGTCGTGACGCCCAAGAGACCAGAGAGCCAGAAGAAGACACCCGACCATCTGACGAGTCGGTGCCCATCCAAACTGCCTTCTTCGTGACCAGGCCCGAGGATTTCGACTTCCCCGAGCACCTGCAAGAGCCACTTACAACGCACAGCAGGTGGGAATACTTCCCCTCCGCCCTGGTCATCAACGGCGGCGGGTTCAACGACTTGACCATCAATTCAGACAAGAGGAAGCTGGACGAACTGGTCGACGCGGCTCCCCCGCAAACAATGACGTTCGAAAGGGTGAAGGGCAGGTCAGAGCCCATTACCTTCTACCTGGAAGAACTCCCTGGCGGAGCCCCGAACGCGGTCATCCCCTTACTGATAAGGGCAAGAATGGCCAATTTTGATGTACATCACATCCTGGTCGACGAAGGGAGTTCCGTCGACGTCATGTACAGCCAACTGTTCCGGACCCTTCAGCTGGACGACTCGCATCTTTCGCCATATGTGGGTTCGGACTTACAAGGCTTCAACGACTTGACCTCCAAACCATGGGGATATGTCGAGCTTCTGGTTACGTTCGGGGAAGGGACGGCTACAAGACAAGTCAAAGTACGCTTCCTTGTCATCGACTGCCCGTCTCTATACAACTGCATCTTGGGGAGACCGACACTGGCAGAGCTAACGGCGGTACCCTCGACCGTCCACCTGAAGATGAAGTTCTACACCAAGAGGGCACGGGTAGCCACTATCCAAGGAGACCTAGCCGCTGCCCGCAGGTGCTTCAACTCCGCTTCTAAGGGACGTGATACTGTCGACATAGGGACCAGACCCGCCAAAAGGACAAGACAGGAGCCCGACAGGAAAGCATCCCCCGAGGAAGAAGTCCAGAAAGCTCCACCAAAAGTCAATTCCATAGCTCTGGACACCCGCTTCGACCAGGACGAGCCATCCAGCAGCGAGCAAATCCCACTCCGACCAATACCGGACGGGGATTTTGAACTCGTCCCCCTCGGCACAGATCCGACCAAGGGAGTGAAGATTGGCAAAGACCTCCCCGACTTGGCCAGGAAGCAAATCAAGGCCTGTTTGCGCGAGAATGCTGATCTGTTCGCCTGGAGCACCGCGGAGATGCCCGGACTCGACCCTGAGGTCGCCTGTCACCACCTCGCCATTGATCCAGCCGCTAGGGCCGTAGTACAACGTAGGCGTAGGCAGTCTCCAAAAAAAACGGAGGCTGCTGAAAAAGCTGTAAAAGACCTCCTAGAGGCAAATTTTATTTCCGAAGCCCGGTATTCCACCTGGCTGTCAAATGTTGTACTCGTGAAAAAGAATAATGGAAAATGGAGGATGTGCGTTGATTATACCGATCTCAACCGGGATTGCCCGAAAGATGCTTTTCCTTTGCCTAACATAGACATGCTGGTCGACAACTCGGCCGGCTACAAAACATTGTCGTTCATGGATGCCTACTCGGGCTATAACCAAATCCTGATGGCCCTGGGCGACAAACACTGCACGACATTCATGACCAGCTCGGGCAACTATTACTATAATGTAATGCCCTTCAGACTGAAAAATGCCGGGGCAACTTACCAGCGCATGATGAACAGAGTTTTTAACAAACAAATCGGCGACATGCTC